GGGCTAATCTGCCCAAGTTCATTGCTTACTTGAAACGTCTCTTGGGGGAAGAGCTGGGCAAGTGGCTTTTTTTCCAGTGGGCGGTCATAAGAGCATTATTAACGGGATGACCAGCCCCAGACACAGCAAAATGAAAGCAACAGGACCTGCTCGTGGGACTGCCTTTGCCACCACCCAGAGTCAGTGCTCAGGTAAAATGATTTTGGCTCGTTTTCTTCTTGTTCAACCTCCCAGTAGTGGATCAGGGGAACCTAGAGGAAGACCAAAGGAATGCCCAGGTTGATGCTGAAGGAAAGCTAAAGTCAAAAAGGAATACAGGCGTTCAGTACCTTTGGGTCTTTGGTGTTTTGTTCCGATTAGGACAGAGTGTACATTTGAAACAAGAGAGTCTCAAAATAAGGAACATAGTGAAACTTCACTCGGTTGGTTCTATAGATTCAGTGGACTCTTTTTTTCTCTCTCTAATCTTGTGATTACTGGTCTGGGTTGTTGTTGTTCTGTTAAGTTTTGTTCCTAAAGGGTGGATTGCAGTAGCACTTTCCAAGACTTTCTGGAGACAGATTTAGTACATACTCGATGTATGTACTTGTAAACCATTCCTGCCTGGAGAAGTTCTTGATCCTATAGCTGGTGGGGAGCCAGGAGTACAAAGCATCAGAGTAATTGGGGCAACTAATGTTTGTAGCAGAATCTTTGTGAAAAAGAAGTGAAACCTGACTAAATGAAATAACCTAATTTTTTTTTCCCTTTAGAGGCAATACTTACAGCTTTTGTTTGTTTCTATCATTTGTATCCTTTATTGACTGTACATTTTACTTGCAAAATTAGTACTTTATTCTTTGAGGGTAATCATTATACTTTGTTCAAAATATGAATGTCCTCATTTTTGTTTTCAATACGAAGTCCTTTAATTATTAGCCTTTGAAACCACTTCCCTATTACACATCACACATGACTGATAATGCAGAAAGACAAGAAAGAAAATAGCCCTTCACAAACTCAGTTATGGTGATGTGGCCGTTCTACCTTTAGAAAAGAATGTACAAAGTGATTTTCTAAGGTCTGATGGAAGCCATCTTTTCTGAGTACATGAGGCTTCCAAAGCATATTTAAAAAGAAAAGATTTGAGAGCACCCTGTCCATTGAAGTTTTGCATTAGAAGAGAATTATAGGGTCAGTAAGAAACATGGCATGTCAAAACTATTTCATGCTTTCTAACAACAAGGATAGCCATTCTGAGCTAACTTACTTGGATATTGAAGCCAAGGATGAAGCTCACGCAGAGCAGTTCAAAGCCTTTGGACAAAAGAAAAGGTAATTAGTTTGGGGAACAAGTTAAACCATGATTATACATCAAATTTGCCCTCTTCAAGAAAACAATTTTAAAAATCTAGTATCTGCCCACACTGAAGACCTGAATAAAAGCACAATACAGCAAAGCCCACAGTAGAGCATAATCAATTATGCATGATATTTTGTAGAATTTCTAATTCATGTGTTATACATGCACTCTTTCTATTATGTATTGTACTTTTCTTCTTTCAAAAACAGAATTCAATTCAATTATGAATGTTGGACAGATTTTTTTTTATATCACATTCCTTCCCCACCCCCTCCCAATTTTCCATGCCTCTGCAAGGGAAATGGTTAATCTGCTGGTAATAAGAAATGGAAATTGATCTTCATTCCTTTCACTAACAGTGAGGTAGGATTTTCACCTTCAAGAAGGTAATTAAGTTGCTAAACTGAAATAAGTCAAGTTACTTTATTTTTTAAAAACTAACAAGTTGGCAATCTCTCTATGTAGTAATTCTGACTAAAACTTCCAGGGTCTTCCAAGCCGAAACTGGGATCCATGAATGAGACAAATAATCAAGGTGTCCTTGGGAAGTCTAATTCATCTGTCATGGTCCCCCAGATTCTCAAGTTAGGAATCCTGTTGGAATCACATTTCTTTGTTGGAGCTCTTATAATGATCCACCTTCTTTTGCTTCTTGTTCCTATTATAATGTCTTCCTAACGTCCCACCCTAATCCTTTATCCTAAAGAGAGAGGTAGAACACAGAAGAGTATGTATTACTCCACGTGTGGGGACCGAGGTGAGGGAAGAGGAGGGAAAAATGCAAGTATGAACTGGGTCTAAAGTCATGCCTCTAGGAGTCCAGCTCTGTCCAAAAACCAAGGCACTCCCGGGCATGCCCAGATGGCACTGCCCAGATCAAGGGTATTTAGTATCAATAATATGTAATTTGGAAAGGCAGTTTAGCAGAGTGGGTAAGAGTGTGAACTCTAGTCAGACTGCGCAAGTTCAAATTCTGGCTTTAAAATGTACTTGCTGCATCTCTCTGCCTCAATTTCTTCAATGGTAAAATGGATATAATAGTAGTACTTCCCTCATGGGGTAGTATGAGGATCCATGGAGATACTACATATATGGCATATTTCCAGGCACATGAGGAGCCCTTTGCAAGTGTTAAATATCGAGCACCTACTGAGTTCCAGGTGCTCTCCCTGAGTCATGTGCTTTGGTAAATACAACAATGTTCTGAGGTGGCTACGATTATCCTCGTTTTATAGAAAAGACTCAGGGATATTAAATAACTTTTCTATATACCATTTTTAGTGGCCAACTAGGCCTTCTTGGAGCCTATGATCCCCAGTGCAAAGAGAAATCAAACTGGGTCAGGTCTATTATAGCAGGTTCATAGTGCTCTTGTGTGAACATGCATCTGAACTTTTAGCACCAGAACCAACCCAGCACGGGTCCCTTTTCTTGAACTGAAACATGGTACCCAAATAATAATGATAACAACTTGGTGTGTCAGCTATTATTATTGTGCCCATTTTATAGATGAGAAAACTGAGGACCACAGAAATTATGTGACTTTGTCCAGCCCATAGAGTCCCACTCATGCCACTTTTTCTAACAGCAAACCTTTCACTCTATCCGTAATACTGCCATGCCTTCTTTCTCTTGGGGAGTATTGGCTGGCACTCCCCAAAATTTGCAGATCCTTCCCCAAAAGATCCTTCTGAATTCTAGCCAAAGTGGGCCACAAAGAAGAAAGGAAAGTGCATTCTCCCTTTCCTGCTCCCCAAGGTGTAGGGAAAGTTGGTTTCAAATGTCCAGTGAGGAATATTTTTACCATCTTTCTGCCAAGAGATGTTATCAATGAAAGTATTCAGTGTCTAGGAAAAATCACAGCCTATGAATAGTCTAACTTACAGGCTTTTCGCACAGATAAAGCCTGGTTATCTACGCTGCTCAGCTCATTTCTGTTGCTAAGATGCAGCCACTAGCTTTTCCTATATATTTGAGAAGAAAAATCTTTGTGAATAGACACTGGGGCTTTCTTCATGCCCAGCTGACAAACAGAATGGCAAACATTACCTTTGTGGTTTGAGGGTGCAGAGGGCCACCTGGACCCAGGGATCTCAGAGACAGGCTAGGTGCTCCTTTTCATGTAGATAGTGCATAAACACTGAGAAGTGCAAGCATCCCTCATGTTGCTACTTTTACAATGTTCTTTGTCATACGAGATAACCACTGCCTTCTGCGCTACAGGCTTGCATAGACTCCATCATGAGAGAGGAGAGAGGTGGGACCCTAAGGGTTGAAAGCAAACCAGACCCTCGCATAGTTTATATAGATGTTTGGGTCCTTGGCAGATTCAGTATTAATTACAGCCAACGTACAGGGGCTTGTTAACAGTTAACACTGGTCACTGAGGCCAAGTAAACTGCTAAGTTGTACTTTGGCCCTGTATATTTTATTAATTTTTTTATGGCCCTGTATATTTTAAGGGCATAAATTTAGTCCTGATACTGTGTTAAAGATGATACCATATGGAAATAACTTTACAAGATGCTCTAACAACTTCTGTCTTAAATGCTTAGAAAAGGAATCTTCTGAGTAGCTTATAGGATCTCATGGGAGACTCCTGTACTTTTTCAAGAGCTGGCAAACAAAGGGGTAAAAGCTATGGGATGTACACTGTGCTTTGGAACAAAGATGGTACAGTTTGCTGGAGCTTCCTTTATCCTTCAGGGAACCCAATCTCAGTGGCCGGACTTCCTGGTGGACAGTCCCAACAATGCCCATTCTAAGAAGCTGTGCTTCCTGTGCTTAAAGACATGTGGAATTAAAAAAGAAAAGAAAGGAAAAGAAAAAGTGCTATCTTCCTTCCTTCCAAAAGCATTACCTGTGAAGTTCTGGACTGTGATAAAGACATTTATCTTCCTTATGCTTCCATTTCCTTTTTTTCCTTCTGTATTTAAGCACTGCTAATTAGGATCTTAGAAAAAGCATCATGATGGATTAGAGCTCTTGAATTATATAATTCTCTTACCATTTCTCTTTCTTTCTTTCTTTCTTTTTTTTTTTTTTTTGAGCAAGAGAGGTGGGAGGAGGGACAGAGTGAGAGGGAGAGAGAGAATCTCAAGCACATTCCCCAACAAGCACAGAGCTGGACTCGGGGCTTGATCTCACAACCCTGAGATCATGAGCTGAGCCAAAATCAAGAGCTGGATGTTCAACTGACTGAGCCACCCAGGCTCCCCAGTTTCTCTTTCTTTCTATAAGGAAAATCAAATGGAAATGTTAGCCATGAGAACTTCATATTTACTTACATATATATCCCCCACCACTGAATATTTGTTATTTACAAGGATATAAACCTACTGCTCTGTGTTTTTCATTTCCTCCATAAAGCAATGTTTTTCTGCCTTCAAAAATCATTAAGAATTTGTATATGGTTCCATCACTAACATTTTTTTTATTATGGTCATTTTCTTTGACTTGATATTATAATGTTGACCTAATCAACAACTTCTGGTAGCAACTGATTTTGTTATATGCAGTGTCTATGTGTGAAGTAAGCACAATTTCAGTTCAGCTTATGAGATACCAGTCTATTACGTGATTATGAAATTTTGTTTCCTATGCAAAAATACTTGGAGGTTATGTTCACCTTTCTTCTTCTTCTTCTTTTTTTTTTCAGGCTCAGAAATCCTGGATAGAAAGAGCATTTTATAAAAGAGAATGTGTTCACATCATACCCAGCACCAAAGACCCCCATAGGTAATCTTGCCATTTCTATAATGAAGTGAGAACACAGAGTAGCAATTACGGGAAAAAACTGCAATAGTAATCACTCTCCATTGCAAGGGAACCAACGTCAAAGATCATTTCTTTTAATCTTTGCTGCACATCTCTGCAGCAATATTATATGTATACACCACATAATATGCCATGCCTGCAGTTAATTCTCTAACAGCCTGTACAAAATAACAGATAACCCATTGGGAAGGAATTAATCACTGTCTATAAGTGGGTTATATGTATTTTTAGTATGGTTACTGATTTTTCCTTTTAAGCATTTCATCAAAATGCTTAGTTTGTACCAACATTCTCTGTTAAAATGAAAAAAGCTTTTTAAATAAAAGACTCCGAGCAGATTACTAATTAGACTGCTGACCTTCAGATTCCCGTCCAAGCACATTTTTAGTATCCTATTACCTTACCTTTAGTATCCTACTTACCTCCCTGATTTTGCCTTAAAAACTAACAGCATATAAGGTAGAAAGCATTTGGGATGCAGTAACATATGAATGTCTGGAAATGCCTTTATGAAAAGGCAACATAATCAAGCAATTTAAAATACAGGCTGTAGAGTCATATAGACTGGCTGTGTAACCTTGAGCAGATTTCTTAACCTTCAAAACTGCAATATTTTACTCATAAAATGAATGTGACATCGTTAGTGTAATATTTTACTCATAAAATGAATGTGACATCGTTAGTGTTTAATAACTGATAACTGTGTAACAATATCATTATTAATAGTTATAATAGTCATACAAGTAAAGTATGAAGGATATGTATCGGTATTATTACTAATAATAGTGGTAGTGGAAAAGTATGAAGGATATTTTCATGATGTGAGGAGTGAATTTTGTTTTCAAATATCTTGTGAATAGGATTTTCACCGTTTCTTTGGGAACACTTAAGCTGTAGATTTTTATTCTCAGACTTGGATATTTGACAGTGAATGTCAATTGAGGAAAGACAAGTTAGGTGACTCACATATGAGTGAGAGCTCTTATTAAATGTGCATGTTAAGATTCTTCCTTCAAAGCTGTTCAGTGGTTTTCATGCAAGATTTGATAGATGGGAGGAGTAAGAAGTAGAAAAATCTATAGGGGGGTGCCTGGGTGGCTCAGTCGATAAGCGTCTGCCTTCCGCTCGGGTCATGATCCTGGGGTCCTGGGATTGAGCCCCGCTTTGGGCTCCCTGCTCGGCGGGAAGCCTGCTTCTCCCTCTCCCACTCCCCCTGCTTGTGTTCCCTCTCTCGCTGTGTCTCTCTCTGTCAAATAAATAAATAAAATCTTAAAAAAAATCTATAGGGCTTTTGTTCACAGGTTCTGATCCAGAACAATATGGCAGGTCTGAAAGGGGTGGGTGGAGAAGGCCTGGAGGCATGTTATAGCTTATCCAGCTAAAGGATAATGAGGAGGAGCAGAAAAGAAAATCTGTATGTCAAGTAAATCCTGAGTTCATTATTTGCCTGATAAAGCCACATCATGGGATTCTGCTAAGAGCCGACTGACTGGCTATGGTCTGTCGATTTCTCTGGCAGGTTGCCCTTAGGTGGGTGTTCCAATAATGGCAGATACAAGGGATTCACTTTGACCTCCTCTGATGCAGGTGTTGCTGTGGGCGTCTGATCGGCCAGCATGTGGGCCTCACTCCCAGTATCTCCGTTCTTCAGAATGAGAAAAATGAGAGTCGCCTCTCCCGAAATGACATCCAGTCCGAGAAGTGGTCCATCAGCAAGCACACTCAACTCAGCCCGACGGATGCTTTTGGGACCATTGAGTTCCAAGGAGGTGGCCATTCCAACAAAGCCATGGTAATCAGAAACCCATTCAGTCGCTTCCCAAATTCTTTCTCACGTCCTGCAAAGCAGAGGTGAAGAGCTGGAGATTGAGCCTTTGGGCTCAGTCCCACCTCTGCCAGATCTAGGCTGGGCAAGGGGCTCTGATGACCTTGGCCCTGTGCATCTCTGCTCTCCTCTACAGAATGGGGGAAAGAAAATTCCTCCCAGGACTTTTTAGATAATTAGTATGATTATCGGATGCAGTGACTATTGTTATTATTAATAATAACAAGTAGCTTTCTATAGTGATCCACTGTTTATTATGTTACTCTCTGGGTCTCATCCCTTGGGGCATGTTTTTCTGTCTCCTTTGGTAAAAAAGAAAAAAAAAAGGAAAAAAAAAAATCTTACCTTTAGGTTTCTGTTTTGTTCTATTGGTAACTAGCATTCTTTCAATTCAAGGTAGAAATGATCAACCCAGACTGTTCTAACAGAGGTCTTGCCATCTAAAGTGAGTGCTTTTGCTCCAAGCAGCTGTGTTCAATATAGTTCTCAGTAGAAGAGCTCCATATGAAAAGCGTTTTGTTTGGAACGGAGGCTTTAGGAAATAATACAGATTTTACTTCTAAGCGTTGTTGCTTCTAAATTTCAGCTTTCATCATGAACCTCTCCCTACTTGGCCGACAGATTTTTTTCCAGGAGAAAAGTATACCATATGTTTTTGGAAATTCTAGAAATGCTATATTTCAATAAGCTTGCTTCTAACAGAGAGAGTTAGTTGAGGGTGGGGCAGTTGGAGGTGACCGCTCTAAGGCTCACGAAGTTTTCCGAGTTTGGAGAGGAAATTTTGCTTAGAGAAGCATACTGCAAAATGCAAGGGAAATCACTTCACACTAGTCACAGACTAAAAACGTGCAAAAATCCACCTCTCTTCCCTCTTTCATCTCTCCTCCCCTTTCCCTCTCTTCCCCTACTCCTGCAGGATTTTCTTCACCACGAATGGCTGACTGAGCTATTCTCTTAGTTTTCCCCTAAGAAAATCAATACTGAGCTATACATTAGAGTAAAAACAATTTTGAGCAGTGTATTGGGAAGAAGAGGATGCTATGTGCAGCCCCCTGTATGGCCTGGGGGGAAAAGCTGGGGGAGGGGTGTTAGTCTTGGCCTGTACAGAACCAAGGGTAATGGAAATTTGGCAATGTCCTCATCCACCCAAGGGATGTGTTCCCCTACACAAAGTCATTAAGAGTCCCCAGCTCAGCACAGTTCCCATTCACAGTATGGGATTGAACTATATACCCTGGGGATCCTCTGGAAACATGCATTAATTAAAAGTCATGTAAGTTCATCCTTTAAGAAAAGTGCTGCAAAAAAAAGAAAGAAAGAAAGAAAGAAAAGAAAAGAAAAAAGAAAAGAAAAGAAAAGAAAAGAAAAAGCAAAGGGATGGAAATGGATCCATGAGGGGCCAAAGCTCTTCATTGGAGATGAGACTATGATAATGTTGAGAATGAAGTGCGCCCCCAAAAGAGAGAAAGTCCCACAGATGAGGAAGTGGCTTATTAGGCAATGATCACTGTGGAGTGGTACACCCAGTGATGTCATAGAGTGTTTGAATGGTGCCTGCGAGCTTTGTGCCCCACGTCGCACAGCTGATATATGATATATGTATATTACGACATTTAGCAGCAGAGGAAAAACTTGAAGAGGCAAATCTTTCCCTCTCCTCTGGAAGTGTGAATACATAGGACATCGAACTTTGATAGCCCTCCCCAAGCCCCACGTAGCTCTATGAAACCCAGAACTCTCTGTCAGCAATCAGGTTAGGAAAGATCAGCTACATGATTTTAGATCCCAATGTAAAATGAAAATGTAGGTCCCCAGCTGGGGCAGGGAAGGCAGTCCCCCGTTGCCATGGCTGACAACCCCAACTCACAGTAGACAGGCAACAATCTAGGGCTGTCTCCGTAGTGGGACATGCTCGGGTTCTGTTGTGGGAGAATCTTTCCACCAACTCACCCAGGAAACACACCACAGCACGACTAGCCTAAGGCAGAGACAGCTACTTCCTTGCTCTGTCCTGAAAGGCTACAGGAAATACATCTAACCCTGCCCCTCCCCTCGCCTGCCACCAGGTCCCAGTCAGTGATGGAGGGTGATGATGGAGCACAAACCCCATTTCTTCCCCAGGCGAGATTGGGCTGGGGAGGCTCAACTGGCTGGGACACCAGAGGTGAGAGCAGGTGGCTGAGATCCCCTGTCCCAGGGAGGCAGCAGGAGGAGGTGGGAAATGGGACCGTGGACCACATGTGAACTGAGGCCCCAAGCCCTCTGTGCATGCTCTACCGTCCCATCAGACTTCACGTACAAAACACAGATTCAAGGATAAAACTGTTAAGGATTTCAAGACAGCAAGTGCAGAGCATTAAACTCTAAGCACTGCCTTTCTGAGCAGTGTGACCATGAAGTGGGCCCTGAGATTAGGTCTCGCATGTCCTTGATGGTCTCAAAGCAGACACTACAAGGAAAAACCTTTCTTTCAGAGTCTAATCAGCCAAACGAGGACCAGTTTTCTTTCTTTCTTTCTTTCTTTCTTTC